TCTCAATGGCACTCTGGATTGAGTGGGACTGTTTGGTGCCTCCCTTCCCAGGTACAGCCCACTCCCAGGTGCCTCCCTGGGGATGTGGTGCCAGCTGCAGCCATCCCACGTGCTAAAATGCCTGGCAGAGCACTGGAGCAATTGAAATGTTGACTCTGCTCCAGATGTGCTGTGCCCTGCCTAGCACAAGGGCTTCTGCAATGTCTAGGCTCTCATTAACACGGCCCTGAGAAGAAAAGGACTTGGTGGGGAGCCGCTGAACACCAGCAGCTCTTCAGAGTGCAGGAAGGAGAGGAGGGGGGCTGCCCAGCCACTGGCACCCAGCCCAGAGCATGGGCCATTGCCTGGTAGGAATGCAGATGAGATATAATGGAGTTTGAAAGTGTAGGGCACTCTCTGGGATGCCGGTCCTGTGGGGGAGGGAAAGGCATCCTGTGAGACCTGGAAACTGGACCAAACAAAACCCCTAGCCCCAGCTCTGTACCCTCCTGCCTCCTCATGAATAAGGTCTGCAGAAATTTGGGGAAAAGGAGGAAAATAGAGTAGCTCTGTTTAGGAGAGTGATGCTTGGGCAGGTTCAGGGGCATCGAGGAGACTCCTGGAGTACAGATATCTTCATTTGCCTGCCAAGAGTGCTGATGGCCTGGAGCAGGTGTTAGTTCCTGCTCTGAATGTTTCTCTTGGGCCCAGTTTTCCAGCCCTTTGCTCCACCCATACAAGACCTGCTGTGTCCCTTGGGCTCCCTGATGTGGTTTTCCAATGGTTTCCTCTTGAATGAAGTCTAGACTGACTCAAACTCAGATTTTTGTCTGAGAATTTGCTGGAGGTGGAAGTAACACAACTTCTGGGGAGTGTCACAGTTACGATTTGATTTTATTCCAGCAAAATAAAGGAGGCTGCAGGGGATCCCAGTGCTTATATGGCTCGGATTGAGGAGCTCAGCAAGGAGCCTGGTCCAGTGTCTGTGTCTGGCTGTGTTGCTCCGAGGACTGATGGAGCCAGCACTGCTCAGTGAACCTGTGATTGGGCACAGCAGTCCTTGGAAGGTGAGACCTTGCTTACGTTGCAGGACTGCTGTCAGAACAAGAGAGGAGTGCTCCGTTGTCATCCCTGTGGTATTCTCAGTTTCATGCACTGCAATTAAATCACCTGCCAAATAATGATGTGGCAAATCTGGGCGGTGTGGCCTCCTCCGATCTGCTCCTTAAAGCTGGGAACATGAGCTGGGCTGGAAAGCATGTGCTCTGTGCAGCCTGGGTCATGGTAATCATTTATGACTGTTAGCAGATCTGAAATTTGCAGGTAAAACGTTTCCTACCCAGACATACCAACGACAGTGCCAGTTCCTCCTGGTCTCCCTGGATTCTTCTGAAAAGAGCAAGGGCAGTGTGGCTGCTGTCCTTTGGAGCAGGGATGAATCAGCAGAGGGTGAATAGCAGGAGGCTGGTACTGCTGTATTCTCTCTGCAGATGCAAACTACGTGAACACATTCATCACATCCTGAGAATGCACCCCAGATTTGCTTTTGTGCCTCTTGTTATTACAGGCTGGTTGGGCTTGAAAGGTAGAAATCAACGATTTCAGACCAAGCCTGTCTTGTGGAGTCAGCAATTTCCAGCTGCCAGTGGGGGCTTTGAGGGGCCATCCTGGTCTTCGCGGGTGTAAGCCTGGCAGAGCCAGTGCAGAGTGTGGGAAGCAGTCGGGATTCGCATCCGCTACGGGTGTCCTTCCCTGTCATGGCAAAGCTGGCAGGTTTGTGGCACAGATGGTGCCAAAGGTCTTGTCTGAAGCCATATCTCAGCTGAGGTGTGACTTGTGCCACCAAAGAAAAAGTGCCACCTGGATTGGAATGTCAGGGAGGTGGCAGGTGGCATAATTTTCCCTTGCTCTCTGAGGGAAGTGAGGCTTTTTATTCACAGAAGGATCACACTTTGAGCAGTGCTGTGCTGCAGATCAAAGAGGACTTTCTTGAGTTCATCATCTTGTGAAGTCTGGAGAAAGGAAAACTGTTGAGCTTCCTTTTCAGCTGGTATTTCCAAGGTGCCAGCAGGGGTGTTGGATGCAAACCTCTCTGCGCAGCCTGCGAAATGCCAGTGACGGGGCTCCGTGATTGTATCATGAGTCTTGCATTGGTTGCGTGTTTTCCTTGGAGTCAGTTCCTGGAATCACACAATTATGTAGGAACGTGTTCTATAATTTTCAAGGAAGAAAGTCCATTTCAGGATCTCCCTGTTGCCCTGAACCTTCACAACTAAAGGGGAATGAGGAGGTCCTGGTCTGCTTGCTTGGCCATTCGGAACATTTTATAGACAGATTTGTGCTTTTAAAAATGGACAATAAAAGCCTTTCTCCATTTTCTGAAACGTAGTCTTTTCCATCACTTCAAGGGCTAAACACATAAAATCTAACCACTCTTTCCTGGTCTCCTCTCTAACCCAGCACAGAGGTGATCTGAGTAGCTTTGTATCTGAAAATGATCCATTTTAGGTGCACGAAACAAGTTCTGCAGGGCTTAAATTATTTTGGTGAGATTGTGGCCGCCTTTTGAGGTTCTCAGCCTGTTGATGTTGCCCACGCCTCACTGACTTCAAGGAGATTCCTGCTGGGTGTTAGTCTGGGAAAGGAGATTTCATGAGCTTAATGAACTAAAGCCACTGCTCAGCTGCTGCAGAGAGAGAGAGAGAGATTGTGCAGCACAGGAATCTCTGTGGTCATCCCATGGCCTTGCTGTAGAATGAAGCACAACTCTCCCCAAAGTTAAAGGTGCCAAGGTAGGCACTGGAGGCTTTGCTGTGAAAACCAAGTAGGTTCCTAAATGTGCAGTGGGAGCCTAAAGCTGACCTTTTAGGACTGGCTGGGGTTCAGCAGGTGGACATCCAGCATCACCCAGCACCTGTGTCCTGGTTTTGCTACCTTGAAGGTTCCATTGGCAGCCAGAGACAACAAAAAGGCGTTTCTGAAACCTCCCCAGACTTCTGCTGGTTCTTGACTGCTATTATTTCATCTTAGTTGCTTTCAAATCCAACTTAAAAAAGAGTTGTTTCAAAGCCTTTGCTTCATCTTTGGCTTCCCATGCCCTGTGTCAGGGTGTTCTGCAGTGAAAATATCCCTCTTCCCAGTCTGAGGTGCAAGAAAAGCTTCACCTCTTGCTTTACAGAAGCATTCAAAGGAAAAAAAAACAAAATGGGCAGGTCTGTGCCTGGAAAACTCCACACCCTGCTACTGAAGGAGGCTATTACCTCGGGAGCCTTGAGGATGGGACGTGCCAGCTGGGCAGTAGGGTGGTGGGTAGCAGCCCAGCAGTTCCCAGGGCAGCAGGAAGCAGGAGCATCCCCACCCCAGGGCTCTGGGGGATGAGCAATGGCATGGCTCACCTCCAAAGGAGCCGGAGCCCCGGGGTGTGGGCTCCTGCCTCTCTGCCTTGCTGTTAGATGCTGCTTTTGCATCTAAAAAAGGATTCAAGGAATTTGGGCTGCCTGGGAGGAAGGGGTGAGCTGGATGGGGAGGATGCTGGCAATTACGCTGGCGCTGAGCACCTCTCCTTTGCCTTGATAACCTAATCAAGCTGATGAGCCCTTAAAATAAGGCTTTAACCTCGGGTGAGATAACGGTGGTGATCGCCCTGAACATGGGGATTTTTGCATTTTAATCACCAGCTGGATGAGGACAAGTCCTGGCAAAGTATCTGTCAGTAGTGAGGGACTACGTTTCAGAATAGCCCTGCACAGGTTAGGCTGTGTCTCTCTGCCTCCTGGTTAGACAACAAGGCATGATAATCCCTTAAAGACTTAATTACAGTTGACAGGGCTGGAGCAAACCATTTTTGGCCCCATTCCCATCAGCCGGGACCCACAGAAGATGGGTGGATGGGAGCAATCCTGAGGGTTGTGTCCACCATGCTCTGTCCCCCCGGGCCAGCCTGTGCCAGGGAGCCCCATTTCCCAGAGCCATGCCCCGTGTGGAGCCCCTGCCTTCCACTGCCCTGGCGAGCCTGGGCCCTGGCAGGCTTGTTTTTCTAGCATGGCAAGTCCGCCTAAAATGCCTAGGTGGGGCTCAGCATGGATAATGGCCTTCCTGGGGACAGAGCCAGCAACAAGCCCTCAGCAGCCATGGGCACCCCTATTGCCAGAGGTTCCCTGGCCTCAGGGGCTGGGGAGGGAGTGGAGGGCTGGATTTTGGGGCTGTGTCCACCATGGCTCTGCCCCGGGGCACTGAGCAACGGGGCACCTTCCGTCTGGGTCTGGGAGCTGGTGACGTGTGTGTGTGTGTGTGTGTGCGTGAGCAAGGGCACGGCTTGGCCTGGCCGGGAGGATGGAATCTCAGAATCCTGGAATGGAAAGGATTGGAAAGGATCTTAAAGAGCATCTAGTTCCATCATGCTGTCAACCCTTCCACTAGACCAGGTTGCTCCAAGTTCCATCCAGCCTGACCCTGAACATTTCCAGAGATGGGGCATCCACAGCTTCTCTGGGCAGCCTGTGCCAGGGCCTCACCACCCTCACAGGGAAGATTTGGGGTTTTTTTTCTAATATCTAATCTAACCCTCAGTTTGAAGACATTCCAACGAAGGGGCCACTGGGGTTAGAAGGCTGGTTTTTTAGGTGTAGAGGTGGATTTTGTGGATATCCTTGGTGAGTATCGCTGGCTGGTTGGGGGAGAGGGCAGGGATGTCTCCAGGGTCCCCATTGCATGGCGTGTCCCGGTGGTGCCCAGTGACGCTGGCTAACATCAGCGCATCTGACCGGGCACTGCCCTCGGGGTGCCTGTCATGGTGACAGCGTTTTGGGGCTGAATCAGCTGCCTTCGCCACCGCAGAATCACAGGTTCATTTAGGCTGGAAAATACCTAAATCGCCGAGTCCAGCCTGTGACCCACCACCACCCTGCCAACCAGACCATGGCACTCAGCGCCAGGTCCACTCTTTCCTTAAAACACCTCCAGGGACCACGACTCCGCCACCTCCCTGGGCGGTCCTCACTTGACCAGAATCGCCTCATTTTATGCCATTTGTCCCCTCGAGGAAGGGAAGGCAGAAAAGGGGGGCGGAGGAGGAGGTGCGCGGGGCCGGTGAGGCGGCAGGCCTGGGCCGGCGAGGGGCCGCGGCCGCTGAGGGATCCCCGCCCCGGCCCCGCCCCGGCCCCGCCCCGGGGGCGGCGCCACGGGCGGCTCCGGGCGCTAAAGGCGGCTCCGGGCGGCGCCGCCCGGCCTGGCGGGCGATGTGGCGGCGGCGGGCGCGGGCCGGGGGCCGCGGGGGGCTGGCGGCTCTCCCGCCGCTCCTGCTGCTTTTGCTGCTGCTCCGGGTGCCCGCGGCGCGGCCCGGCCGCCTCTACTCGGCCTCTGACCCCCTGGAGCTGCTGGGGCCGGGGGCGGAGGGGCGGCTGCTGGGCTCCAGCAGCGCCTGGGCCGTCGAGTTCTTCGCCTCCTGGTGCGGGCACTGCATCCACTTCGCGCCCACATGGCGGGCCCTGGCCCACGACATCCGCGGTGAGTCCCCGGCCGCGCTGCCCCCACAACCATCGGCTCCCCGATCCCTCCCTGTGCCCTTGACCTTGTTATCCCGCACCCCTTACCCCTGTGTCTGTTTTCTTCCGTCCGCACCCCGTGTCTCCCTCTGCCCCTGCACTCTCAAATTCCCCCTGCACCTCTGTTCACCTCTGTCTGCTTATCTCAGCACCCCTAAATCCTCCTCCCCCGTGCCCCTGCGCAGGGTGGTCCCGCTTCCCCCAAGACCGCCAGCATCCTGCAAGCCCTCCTGCGTCCTTGCCCCGTCGTCCTCCTCCTCCTCTCCGCCCGCGCTCTTAAATCCTCCCTGCATCCCTGGCTCTGCATCCTCGTTCCCGTGAGCATCCCTATATCCTGTGTCCTTCCCACGCCGCCCCTCAGTCCGCTGTGCCCTCCCCTCTGCCAGCTCCCCGCGGTCCCCCTGCGGCCCAGCTCCAGCCTCCCTGGCACGCCAGCCGGCTGGGAAGGCCCAGCTCCCTGCCGGTGTCCGGGTTTCCCTCCCCTCCATACCCAGGCCTGGCTGGGACCCCCTTTTGGCGGGGGGAGGTTGGGGTTGGGCTTGCCCCGGTTTTGGGGGTTCCGGTTGCCCCCTGACTTTCCTCAGCCTCGCTCCTCCCGGTGCCTGCAGGGACAGGGGCGGCAGGTCGCTGGGCACTGATCCCAGCTGCTTTGTTCCCGACTTTGACCTTGGTGCCCGGCCTGGCTGGTGCCAGCCCCGCCCGGGGACCCGCACACCCCGCTGCCCGGCCCCTCGTCCTGCCGGGACTCGTCCTGCCTCCCCCGGCATCCCGGGGTGCTCGCGGCTTCTCCCTGTTATTGCACTAATTGATGCAGCGCGGTGGCTGCCGCATGAGTCAGGGCCCGGCCGGGCGGGCATCCCGTCCCTCCGAGGGGATGCCGTCCCTCCCTGGGGATGCCGTCAGAGCTGCCCGACGGGCAGGATGTGAGGAATGGGGTGCGTGCCCGGGCCCCGCGGGGCAATGCCGGCTCTCCTGGCCCCTCTCCAAAAGAGGGCTCCCCCAGGCTCTCCGCTCCAGAGGCCGGAGTGCGGACGGTGTGCCCGTGGAGGCGGGACGGGGAAGCCACCCCCGTGCTGCTCAGCATCCTTGCCGCCATTCCCACGGGGGGATTTTCCTAGGAGTGGGCTGGACGGGGAGGATGCTAGGGTGACCTGCAGACACCACGTGCAGATGAGTGTGGGAGCATGCCTGGCTCCCTGCAGCAGGGCTCATCACCAGTCCTCCTGTGCCACGAGTGCCACGGCAGTGGGAAACAGCTCACCTGTCCCGTCACCTGAGACACGGGACACTGTGTCCCTGCCTCCAGCATGCTCCTGCCTAGGCTAACATGGGCTCTATCTGCGTGCCAGCACCATGTCACTCCCTGTCCCACTCTAAGGATAAGGCAGGGCGTTCTCCAGCTTGTGTCCTTCACGTTAAAAAAAACAAAACAAACATTTCAGAGCTTTATTCTCCCATTTTCCTGCTGGTTTTCAGAGGCTGCTGCTTAAAATATCTCCATGCCCCTTTTTGTTCAATTCTTTTACCCCAAGGGCATGCTGGTCTTCACTGGGGAGTCACAAATGAGGAGCGGATGCTCAGCACCTGGGCAGGCTCTGCTGTAGTGCCCTGGCTGCTGGTTTTGGGTGTTCCCTCTTGGTTATCAGCTATGCCCTTGGTCTGGGGTGAGACAAGGTGGAGCCTGTGCTCCTTGCTCTCCCCGAGCTGTGGCTAGCCATCCCTCCCCTTCTCCTGGTGTCCTCTTCCCAGGAGCTGGGGCAGAGGCTGGACAGGCAGAACCAGCCGGGCAGGCAGTGTTGGGTAGAGCTGCCTGTGCAAAGCCAGCTCCCGCCTCACACGGCTTTCCCTGTGTTCCTGCTGCCTGGAAAGTAGGGCACCACACACCAGTACAGAGCACAGCCCTGGTGTTCAGGCTTGGAAACCATCAGTCACTGTGCTGCGAGAGGCAAGCAGTGGTTTTGGGATCTGCCAGTGGATCTCTCCTGTTTCTGCAAGCACTCATGGGGAGGAGGGTGGTTTTTGGGGCTGTGGTGTGCTGAGCTGTGCTGACCTCGTCCTCTGTCCCCACAGAGTGGAGGCCTGCAGTGATCCTGGCCGCCATCGACTGTGCCGATGAGGACAACCAGCAAGTGTGCTCCGATTTCGGGATAACCGGCTTCCCCACCATGAAGGTGAGACTGTGTGTGCCAGCTTCTGGCTGGGCTTCACTGTGCTTTCCCTTCTGGCCTCTTCTCTCTTGCTCAATCTGATTGACAGGGGTATTGCACCAAAATACTCCCCCTGGGGTTTTGCAGGCTGAAGCTGTTTCACCCTTCCCCAGAACAAAGTTGTGTCTTGGCTGCAGCCAGTGCAACTGCCGAGTGATGGAGCAACAAGGAGGGGGGAAGGCCAAAATGGTGTTTTGTGGTGAAACATAGGGGCTGGATCTCTGTTAAGATGAGGGAGACTCTGGCTTCTGAGTTGGAAACATTTAAGAAAGGGTGCTTGAGGGCAGAGAGAGGTTTCAGGTAAGGTTTTGGAGGAGGGCACAGGGATGCTGCGGGAGGTTGCAACTCCTGGGAGCCTCCTGTGGTGGCTGGCAAGGAGCCATTCCTCCTCCTGGGCCTGTGCCCAGCCCTTTAGCTGTGTCAACACTGCTCTGCAGAGCTTCCCGCTGCAAACGGAGCCTTGCTCCAACACAAGCAGTGAAGCCAAAGGACTCCAGGTGCCACAAGCAGCAGTTAAAACCAGGATTGCCTTGAGATGAAATGGGCAGGGATGAAGGTTTTATCAGACATACCCTCACTCCCAGCTTACAGGCTCAGCTCCAGGTAGGGTCAGATTGGGGGTTTTTCTGGCAGGTTGGCTTGGCCCCAGCCCTGCGCTGGGGTCTCACCGAGTGCCCACTGCCCTGGAACACTGATGGAAGTGTCTCCTGGGGTAGGGACGAGTGCTGATGTGGCCATGCCAAGACGTCACTTGCTTCACATCATGTGTCCCTGCTGAGCACCTTTTGCAAACAGTCCCAGCTCCCAGCCCAGCCTGCAAAGCAAACACCTGGCTGATGCAACCTAGTGTTGCTGCTCTGGCTCTGCCCTAGGTACTGGAGCCACTGTGGGAAGCCAGGAGTGGGAAAACCCCCTTTTTCCTACCTTCTCAGAGCTCTGGAGCAGGAACACTGGTTTGCAGGACTGGGAAGGTTCTAGCTGCCTCCCTGGGACCCCTGGAGACACTTGCCAGTGTCACCCTTGGCTGGACACGGCTCCCAGCCCATACCTGCATCCCTCCCCTCTGGGGATGCCCCAAAAGATGGGGACATGGCTGGGAGCTTCCTCTGTGCTGGCTGATGTCAATTAGCATGCTGCAGTATTGTGGGGAAACTGAGGCAGAGCTGGTCTGCAGGGAGCCTCAGCCTGCTGGGTTGCACTGCCTCCTGTCCCACTCCAAACACTCACTCCAATTTCCCCTTGTGTTTTTCCCCTTTCAGTTCTTCAGAGCTTTTAGCAATAAGCCAGAGGATGGGATAAGGATTACCAGTGAGTATTCAGAGCCATGGGGTTTTCTACCCTGGGTGTGAATGGCCCTGCTGCCCCCACCTCCCATACACTGCAATATCAGGGAGCTCTGGGGGGCAGCTCCAAGCAGCTTCCCTTGGCTCAGCCCCGCTGGGGTTGGCTTCCCCAGGACTGACCCCTTGGGGTCCTGTCCCCCTGCAGATCCCAGTGCCACTGTCGAGGACCTGCGTCACGCCATCATCACCAACCTTGAGCAGAGCCAGGATGCCTGGCCGCCCGCCTGTCCTCCGCTGGAGCCAGCAAGGTAGGGGCAGCAGGGGCTGGGATGGCCTCTATCCCATGGGGAGCAGCTTTTGGGGAAATCCTGAGCCCAAAATGAGCAAGGAGCAGCTACTGCATCACCCACATCCCAGGGAGATGACCTGGGCAGTGTAGAGCTGTTTCCATGGCCCAGAGGAGATGGACTGTGTTGTCACATCTCCTAACGAACCTGCTCATCAGCCTTACTTAGAGCAAGCAATTCCTGGGCCCCAAATTCTCTGGGTTATGGCAGTGTCATACCATGCTGAGTGAGGCTGTGTTAGAAGCTTTTTCCTGTCCTGAAAAGAGATTTTGTTGGTATCTGAGTAGTCCTTGCTGGATGCAGACAGTTGCTGCATTGTCCTGAGAAGGAACCTTTGGCTTTCCCAGAGCAATGGTCGAGCCAGGTACATGCCTCAGGTACTCTGATGCCTCTGTGTCTTAGACAAAAAAAAAGCCAGCCCCGGTTCAAGTTCATTTCTGTTTTTTATCCCTGGACAAGTGTGCAGCTCCCTCCTGCCCTGCCTTGCCTGTGCTTTGTTTTCTACCTCCTTGGCCAAGCCCAGTGGGTTTTTCTCAAAGCCTGTGAACCAGAGCAGAAAACTAGGCTGGAAACTTCAGCAGGAGGAGTTGCCTGTTCATTGGGGCTGATCCTGCACCAGCATTCCCTGCCAAATCCCAGCGGGCAAGGCTGGAGCTCCTTGTGAGGGGGAGGGCAGAGCATCCAGCTGATGCCCAGGCACCTGCTGGCATCCTCCTGTCTCTTGCAGCGCTGAGGAGGTTCACACCTTCTTCCAGAGGAACAAGGACCAGTACTTGGCACTCATCTTTGAGAAGAGCAACTCCTTTGTGGGCAGAGAGGTGGGTATAGCTGCATTTATCCCCCATTTCTTTTTCCCTGCTGCCTGATAACTCCTGGGTGCCCGTGGCAGGGCAGCTCTCACTAGGAAGCCTCCCTGCCCAGCTTGCACCCAGCTTAGCCAGTGCCAGATGTTACACAGGGCACTAAACAGCTCTGCTGCCTCCCTGGTGGGGCTGTGCCCCCCACATCTGACCCTGGGGCTTGCAGGTGGCCCTGGACATGCTGCAGTACGAGAACATTGCAGTGAGGAGGGTGCTGAGCAGCGAGGAGGAGCTCGTGCAGAAGTTTGGTGTCACCTCCTTCCCCTCTGGATACTTGCTCTTCCGCAATGGCTCCTTCTCCCGCCTGCCTGTGTGAGTGTGGGGCACGGCGGGGTGGCTCTGGGGATGTTGCTGGGGTGGCTCTGGGGATGCTGCTGGGGTGCCAGCCTTGTGCCCCGTCTCCCTGTGCTCCTTTGTACCTGTGGGAAGGTGCATTAGGAATGAGATTGGCTGAGTAGAGGAGGCTAGGTGGGAGGTTGTTGGTGGGCTCTGAACTGCACTGCCAACCCTGGCTGGAGCTGGAAGAAGGGAAGATCATGGTGACTGAGCCATTCTCTTCCCACATCTGCCTGGAGGTGGCATGATACGGCTTCCTGGGGCTCAGCTGTGCTCTAGGATGCATGTAAGGCTACCTACCCACTGCTGAGGCAGGTGGAGAGTGTGGAGCACCCCATGTTCCCTCCCCAGGCCTGAGCTACCCACTTAGCTAAGCCTTCATCTCCTTGGCTGTCAGGCTTGGGAGGGACAAGGGATTTAGGGCTTCTCTTTCCTGGTAGGCACATAGAGGCGCGCTCCTTCTACACCTACTACCTGCGCACGCTGACGGGCATCGCCCGCGGCTCCTACAAGCTGAACGCCACGGCCAGCACCCTCAACGACACGGACCGCGTGTCACACCCTCTGCGAGCCGACCGGTCAGACCCCACCCCTGCTGGGCACAGGGCCGGGCGGGGGGCTGGGGCCTGGGGAAAGCCCTGGGGAAAGCCCTGGGGTGAGGATTAGCGGGCTGATGGAGCCTCGTGTTGCGCTGCCCTCCCCAGCTCCAAGCTGTACATGGCCGACCTGGAGTCCGCGCTGCACTACTCGCTGCGGGTGGAGGCTGCCCGTGCCTCCTCGCTGTCGGGAGCACAGCTGGCCGCCCTCAAGTGCTACGTGGCCACGCTGGTGAAGGTGAGGAGCTCTGGGTGTCAGGAGAGGAACTGCCTGTGCCTCCATTCGCCTGTTCGTGTAATGCAAACAGTGCGGGCCACCGTGCCCCAGCACTCGGCTAGTGAAGCGTGGCAGTCTGGTGTGGGCCCTGTGTCCTGGTGCTCAGTGTATCCCATGGCAGTCCTTGTCCTTGTGGATCTCCTAACTCAGCCCAGAGTCCCAGTGGGAGTTTAGAGGGGGTGCTGGAGTGTTTCAAACGAGATGTGTGTTGCCAGCTTTGATGGCAGTGGGATCATCATTTGCAGAAGGTGTTGAGGTCTTTTCAGAAGAGAGGCTGTCGCCTGCTGGGGTGTCAGAGATGGTCACAGAGGTTTGTCGCTCTGTTATGGATGCTCAGTTCAAGGAGCCAATCTCTGCAGGCTCCTTTGATAATAGTCCAGGAAAGGAACTCCCACACTGAGTCAGGCTCCAGACAAGTGTAATTTAAGGTCTCCTTTTTACTTCTATGTTGGGCCTGGCACAGCTGAAGTGACTGAGAGCTTTGAGCCAGCGCAAGCAGGGCAGTTTAATTTCCTGCTGTGATGGAGTCCTGCTGCATTTGGCTGGTTCCTCTACTGGGCCTGCAGGAATCCTGTCTCCAGCCCAATCCCTGTCACAGCCCAGGCTACTTGGCAGACTGGGGCTGTGCCTTCCTCCTTTGCTCCCTCTTTTGTCACCCAGGGTCACATGCTCAGTTTGGACTTTGCTTGGCCCTCACTGATGTGCAAGACACCCCCTGCTCCCATCCCCATCTGCTCTCCCCCAGGAAAGAACTCCAGACATGTGCCTGAAGTCCTCAGACCTATATGTGGTTCCTCTGCCTGCCTCTGCTTGCCCTCACTCTTTCTCCCTTTAATATGAACTACAGAGATGGGGAAATAAATCCCTGTGGCACCAGCTCCCTGCCCAGGGGTGTAAGTGTGCTGGGGGGCGGGGAGCATCAATGGTTTTATTTTATCCATTTTTATTCTTCCTGCAAACCTTCCCCTCGATGAGCTGTGGCAGTGGGTGGTGGGTGCTGGTGCTTCCCCGGGATGCTGAGCCAGCACTGCCATTGCCCTGCTCATCCACAGGACGGAGCAGCATCCCCAGGATTGCCAGCCCAGGGCTCAGCCTGGGGGAGCTCAGCCAGCAGGTCCCAGCCTTAACTCTTGCGTTCCCAAGAGGTATTAAAGGAAAAGAGAGGGGGAAAAGTCCTAATGGGGGAAAAAGTGGTTCCTGGAGGCAGGAAGCTTCTGTCCAAGGAGTTGGGAGGACACTGTGTTTGCAGCACAACTGTCAGGTCACAGATAATTCCCCTGCAAATTTGGGTCTTTTTGTGTGATTCCTCATGGGCCTGGGAGGAAGAACAGCTCAGACTCAGCAAATTCCTCTTCCTTTTTGCTTCTCCCTCGCTTCTCCCTCACTTCTCCTGTGTGCTGGTGTCCCCTCCTCCTCGCAGGTCGGTCCCTCTGTCTGTCTGTTGGTGCCAGGCTGCTGCTCTCCCAGGAGTGGTTTTAAAGTGCAGCTGCTAATCGGCTTTGCCAGACTTACGGACAGAGTGGCTTTTTGCCTCCCTCAGTTGGGGCTGGGGTTTGGAGCCTGAACATGCACACAGGGGACTTGCCACCCGGTGTGGGGGGACAAGCTGCAGCTCCCAGCCCCTCAGAGATAGGCACCAAAACCTTGCCAGGACCATGCTGCTCTCCAGCAGAGAGGATGCAGGTGCTGCCCTGTGCCTCTGCTGGTGAGCCAGGGGTGCCTGTGGGCTGCCCTGTTGCTCCCAGGATGAAATCTGTGTTTTCTCACCCCTCTCCCCACTCTGCAGTACTTCCCAGGGCGCCCCTGCGTGCAGACCTACCTGCAGACCCTGGATGCCTGGCTGAAGAACTGGACAGAGCCCGAGCTGCCCCGCACAGTTTTGAAGGAGGCCATGAAGAATAACAGAGATGTAAGATGCCCGTGGGGACTCCCAGCCCCTGCTCTCCTTACCCCTGCCCCTTGTCCCCCAGCTGGCACTGCCTGTCAGCCCTGTCACACCGTGTCCATCTGTCCACCAGGCCTCCCAGCCCTCGGTGCTCCCCACCAACGTGACCTGGGTGGGCTGCCAGGGCAGTGAACGCCACTTCCGTGGCTATCCCTGTGGGCTCTGGACCATCTTCCACCTGCTGACTGTCCAGGCTGCCCAGAATGGCCCTGACAAAGGTACTGGGGGCTCAGGGGCTCAGGGAGGGAATGTCCAGCTGAGCTCTGGCATGGGTAGGGATGCTGCGTGTGGACAAAGGCTTGTTTCCCCCCTCCTTCATCTCATCCAGGGGCAGTTCCCATGGGGACAAGAGACAGAGTTGGGGTGTGGGGTTGCTACCTCAGCCGTGGGACTGTGGTGGTGGCACGGGGAGGTCCAGACTCACCCCTGTGCTCTGCCTCCCCCAGAGTTACCCCTGGAGGTGCTGAGCACCATGCGCTGCTACGTCCGGCACTTCTTCGGCTGCCAGGAGTGCGCCGAGCACTTCGAGGCCATGGCGGCCAAGTCCATGGACAAGGTGGCCAGCAGGGAGGAGGCTGTCCTCTGGCTCTGGTCCCACCACAACGAGGTCAACGCTCGCCTGGCGGGTAAGGGGGGCTGCCACCAGGGGAGGTAAGGTGGAAGAACATCCCTCCTCCTGGATGGGTCTGGTAAATGGGTGTAGCAGTGGGGACATCCCGTTGTTACTGTCCCTGTCCCAGGGGGCAGCAGCTGGTCATGCAGCATCAGACTGCCCCGGAGATAGAGTTGGATCTTACACGCTCCTTTCAGGGAGCTTCCCAAAGCTGCTGTTTGTCCTCCTCCGGAGGAGGCTCCTCCAGGTGTCCCCATCCCCAGCTGCTGGACTCTCCGTGGTGTTGATACAGGGGGAGGGTGCGTCACATGTCTCCTCTAACCCCCTTGCCGGCTCCGGTCCCTGCAGGAGGTGACACGGAGGACCCCAAGTTCCCCAAGCTGCAGTGGCCTCCGCCGGACTTGTGTCCCCAGTGCCACAAGGAGGAGCGGGGGGTCCATGCCTGGGAGGAGCCGGCCGTGGTCACGTTCCTCAAGGCACACTTCTCCCCGGCCAACATCTACATGGACTATGCCGAGCCCGACCCCATCCCCGTGGCCAGGGAGGGGACCGGCGCCAGGCTGGACACGGAGGGCTCGCGAGAGGAGAGGGGGAGAGGAGAAGCGGAGGAAAGGGAGACGGAGGGAGAGGCGAGAGTCCCGGGGCACCCGGGCTCCGCCGAGCCGTGGCGCCCCAGCATCGTGCGGCTGAACCCCAAGCTGCGGGAGGGGGGCGAGGACATCGTGGACCTGGATTCCTTCAGCGAGCAGCACTTCAAGAGCCAGGCGCTGCGAGCGGCCGCGGGCCGGCGCCGCCGCATCAGCAAGCGGGACACCATGGCCCTGCCCCGCGGTGCCATGGTGGGCAGGGAGCGCCGGCGCGCCCCCGGCGTCCTGCTCCGCCACGAGGAGGAGGCTGGGGACGGCCTGCGGAGCAGCCCCTGGCTGCGGGTGCTCGGATTGGGCTTCTCCCGCCTGGACATCAGCCTCTGCGTGGCCCTCTACTTCCTCTCCTCCATGTGCCTCCTGGGCATGTACACCTTCTTCCGCCTCCGCACCCGCGCCCGGAAAGGCCGCCCTGGCTTCCCCATGGCCTGAGAGGGGTTGAGGGGCCCGGGGGTCTTCCTAGGGTGGGTGAGCTGCTGAGGCAGGACACCCCTGGGACAGCGTTTTGTCCCACGGCGGGCAGGGGTCTGGCATGTCCTGCTCCAGGCAGTTGCCTCACCGGGGGTAGGGGCTGGAAGGGAGGTGTCAGGGCATCCCCCTTTCAATTCACAGTGCCATGTTTTTGGGCGTGTGGGAGCTGGGACACAAAAAGTGGTTTGTGTTTTGGCACCCATCTGCTCTCAGAAGCTCCCTGGCACTGGGCTGGTTTCAAACTGGGAAGCCCAGTGCTGTGCTGGAGAGCAGCCCATTGGGGTCCAACCACTAGTGGGGCCAGGTGGGTGCAGGTTTAGCCCCCCAAAAAGGGGATGCTGCTGGGTGGGGCAGCAGTCATGGGTTCAGATGCATTTTGTGTCCCCCTTCTTTGAGATGTGGCCCGGGGCCTCCCCATCTTTCCCTGCCCCCTCCCCACGCTGTTGTTTGTTCTCTGCTTGTCTTAGTGGAATAAATTATTTTTGCCAATGCCTGCCCTGCTGTGTCGGCTGGTCCCTGCCACGTGGGCACGCTGGACTACCACGCCCCATTCCTGATGTCCCTGCTCCTGCCTCCACCTCACCCCAGGAAGAGCACTTGGTTTAAAAATCTTTTCAATGTTTTTAAATACTATTGTATGTTTTCTCCTGCCTTTCGCTTGGGGATGATGCACCTTTGGGTGGCTGCCCCCTGTACAGCTGGTGCATCCCCAGGGCTGGGGTGGCTCCTGGTTTCTCCTCAAGCAGGGGGAGGCAGAGGAAGTATGTGGGGGCCACAAAGCTGCTGGAAAAAAAAGTTGGAATGAGCTGTGTAGCTGCAGTTCAGTACTGACCATGCCCGTGGTCTGGAGCAAGGAGACACACGGCAGCATCCCTGGGGACCAGGACTTCCTTGGGTGTGGGCCCCCTGCGCCTGTCCCCGATTCTCTCTGCCCTTTTATCCTTGTTAGGAATCATTAAGGAAAATGGTTGTTTTTGAGAGCCAGGGCCGGGGCCATCTGCTCTCCCAGCGCTGTCTAAATCTCCCTGTAACAAATTCATTGGGATTACGCTGCCCTCCCCTAATCCTGGCCCATCCCCCCGCGTGGGGGATTTAAAAGGATTAGAGCCCGGCCGATAATAAACTTTATTAAGGGGGAGGGGGGGTGTCAATCCGATTTGGAGCCTTTTTCTTGATGTCTTCACTTTGCCCAGGTGGGCGGTGAGGGCTGGCGGGATGGGGATGAGCTCTGCCGCTGCCCTGGCTCGGGGAACTCTGGCTCCCCCAGCCCTTCCTCCCTCACCTGCCCGTGAAATCAGTTGTCTCCCTCTACCTTTCCTTTAATGTTCGCGCGTGGTCACGCTTCCAGGCGTTGTGGGGCTGGCACCCCTGTCCTCAACCTCTGCCGCACTCCCTGGAGCGGGTGCTCAGGGCCCCGTCCCAGCACGGAGCGGGGCTGGCTCCCCCGAGCCGGGTGCCGGCCCTGCCCACCGCCGGGTGATGGATGGGGAAGGTCTCATCGCTGCAGCCCTGCTGCCTTCTTCTCCTTGATTTCCCTGGGGGGTTCACCCCCAGCATCAATAACCCCCCCCTCGCCAGCTGCTCCCCTGTGTGGGACCGAGGGATCGCGATGTGGGGCTGCCCGTGGTCACCTCAGCCCCAAAATATGCCGGTGGGGTGGGCAGGGGGTGCAGCAGGTGGAGGGAGAGGGGATTAGGGCTGGGGAGGTGGGCGCTGCCGGAAGGGGGTTAGCGGGATGCCCAGATTAGCATCTCCGCCGGGCCCGCAGCCTAAAGCCGCTGTGCGCGCAGGAAACAGAGAGTCTCGTAAATAGACTTTCCGTAATCCTGTTTGGTGGAGTCGCAATCCGCCCGGCCCCGGCTCTCCCGACCTGTGGCACCGGGGTGTCCCCCTGCAACACCTGGGGAGCCCCAGTGCAGGGCACAGCGGGGCTGCTGCAGGGCTCGGAGTGTCCCCCACGCTCTGTCCCCATCTCGGGATGATTTGGGGACAGGTCCCCCCTGAGCCCTGCAGAGCGGGAGCAGCAAGCTGCTGTGGCCACACTCGCAGGTGGCACAGGCTGTCCTGGGGACCCAGCCCAAGCCCCCGAGCTGCCCTCCCTGATGGACCCTGATGGGGTCACCCCTTCCCGGCACTGCCACGAGCCTGGGGGTCCCTGGGGCTAATTACCCAAATGGCCGCAGGCTGCCGCGGGGCGGCCGCTATTCCCTAATACAATTTACCCTCAAGTGCAATTTAATTTTCCTCCAGGCCGGTGGCCAGCCCTCCGCACACCCAGCCACCTTCCCACCCCTTCAGTGCTCGCTCCTTCCAGCCCTGCCCGACTTCCCTTTCCCTGCTCGGCACAGGGAAGAGCCTTTCTCCACCGGCATCCCGTCTCCACACGCGCCGCAGCCATAAAATCACCGGGGGTCCGCTGAGCGCCGATTAATTTTCAATTACAATTAGCAACGCCCCTGCCTGCGAGGGGAGAGGCTTTCCCTGGCTGCTGGTGAGTACCCGGCTCTCTCTCGATGTGCTTGTCCTCGCTCCAGGCCGGTCCTGCAGTAGGGATGGAAACGGGAGGGGGTAATTATTGGGATAATTCAGATTATTTATCTGGGGGGGCTCGGGGTACTACGGCCGATGCTGCCCAGGGGGGAGGTGGCCTCATGCCAAAAGGGCATGAAGCTGTGGCAGCTTTGGACTTGCAAGGATGTCCCCACTTTGGTCTGGAGGAGCGGGTTTTGTCACATGAGGGGACTCGGAGCTGGGCTGGCACCGGGCAAACTCTCTGCATGAGTGGCACAAAGCCTCAGCTCCCTGGCACCTCCAAATCTGTTTGGGGTTTGCTGACTGGGACAGAACTGCACTCGCAGCCCCCAGGCATGAGTCAGGACCTTATAGTTTCCAGTTTTCCTTATGTTTCCTTATATTGCTTTACATCTCCCCAGTTCTGCCTAGAAACCCCCTTGTTGCACCAGGGGACAATGCAGTGATGTCCCCCTCGGTGCCACAGTGTCCAAGCCAACCCTAATTCTAATGTGCCCAGGGCTGGGGCACACACGGGGAGGCTGGCTCTGTGTTTTGTCACAGGCTCTGGGATTTACCTGCATTTTATTAACGATGAATCCCAGCAGGGAAGGTGTGGGAGCAGCATCCCTGCTCGTCTGTGGGTTTTGCATCATCTCCTCACGCTGCTCGTGTCTTCCTCTGGCTGCAGGGCCGGAGGGCTCCAGGCAATGCCAAGGAAGGAGCAGGGCATCTGTGTGGGGCCAGAGCCCCCCAAAAGTGCCCCAGAAATGCAACCTGATGAAAATCGACATTCACCCTTCTGCAGGATGGTCACCATGAGCCATAGCTCTGATTTAGCTCTGGGTGGAGGAGAAAGCCTGGAGGGGGAACATTTCACACCCACCACATATAACCCCCTCTCTCTGGGCACCACCAGCACCCAGCAGCGTTTTGAGTGGCACAGAGAGGATTTACTGGGCAAGAACCTCATGCCCATCTGAACCGCCCTCTCCTTCCTGTGACATGGGAAAAACAAACTCAAAAGAGACCAGGAAGCCCAAAGTGATCTAAAAAATCCCTAAAGAGACCAAGAGATCTCCACCAACATAAGGAACAGATGGACAGCAGGAAGGATGGAGGGGAACAAAGCCGTGCTACCAAGGAGAGGAAGGGATGAAGGCGCTGCTGGGAAGATGTGTGAGCGAGCACAGGAAGATGCTGGTGGGGTGGTTTTTTTGGTGGTGGCAGCCCCCCGACTCCCTGCCTCTCCCCCGGCTTCCCCAAGGTGAAGGCTCGGTGCTGGGTGGCTCCTTTTGCCCGCTCACCACTTCCATGAGTGATCCAGTGCAGGGCAGAGGGGGCTGGATCAATCTGGCAAAGCAGAAAAATGAATGAAAATTGAATTCTCCGAGGAGAAGGGGGTGGAGGGAGCTGTTATCCCGGCTGAGAGATAAATCAGAGCGTGCCAGAGAGCTGGGAGAGCGCGGTGACTCCCAGCAGCGCTGGAATAATTAGGGAAATAGGTTGGAAATGCAAAGCAGCAGGACAGGGCAGCGATGGGGCAGGGTCCGTCTGTCCCTCTGTCCGCTCGTCCGGCTAAACTTCTCCCGTAAATCTGCCTTAGGGACCTGCCTTTCTGTGCGCTGGGGCCCCGCTGTGGCTGGCTGGCGACTGGGGGGGCACGGGGGCCCCCTCCCCAAGGGGCTGCGGAGCGCAGGTGGCCGGGGGCGACGGGGGTCTGGCCGTGCTTAATGCACTTAAGAGCTGCAGCGTGATTTAGGGGATGGGACGGGATGGGATGGGAGGGGTTGGGATTCACCTCCCTGTGATGGGAAGCAGATTATGGCGTTCGGTGAGCTGCAGGGTGGAGCTCACTCCGGTATGAGCGCACACCGGTCTCTGCACAGAGCTGCCATGTGAGGAGGACGGGGGTTTGCTGGTAAAAATGGAGCTTTGAGGGGGTCAAACCCCAGCATCTCATAGAAAAACTTAATTTTTTTCCTAAGGAACCATCAGTCTTAATACATTTTTTAGGGTTTATTGCTTTTATTTTTAAACATTTTTTTTCCAGATGCTGGCTTGTCCCATCTGCACATTTTCTGACGGAGCAGGGTTTCAGGATTTTTCAGGTGGGAAAATCCTCTTCCTAGCAGTGTAGAAACGAAGGCTTGGCATGGGAGCACCTGAGCTGAGGGTGGCCATGCTCTTGGCTGGGTGAGCATCTTCCCTCACCTGCCAGAAGCTGCCGTGTGCCACCTCGGGAGCCTCCCCCTGCTCTCTACGCAGAGCGGGATGGCCCAGCACGTCGGGGCTGTTTGGTACCGCTGTCCCCGAGCTGGTGACACGGTGACCATCGGGAAGGTTGATGCTGGGGGCACCCCCCCTAACTTCAGCTCCATTTCGGTGAGTTTCCTTTCTCGGCCCGTGGCCGCCAGGTACAGCCACATCAGTGGCGGGGGCTGCGTTGTCTCAGGGCTTTCCCTCAGCAGAGCCCCACGGGGATGCTCATGGAGGCCGTAGCCACCTTTGCGCTGTGACTTCAGCATTGCCACCTTGTGCCACCGCGGCCCGGGGCTGTCGGGCTGGGCACGCCGCAGCGCTGCCGACTCGGTGTGTCCCCGGGGAGGCACCATGGGATGGGCCCAGGGATGTGTTACACGCCCTGTGGAAGCAGAGCGTGTCACGGCGGGGTGACAGCAGCTGGGCGACAGCTCGTGTTGGTGCGGGATGTGCCGCTGTCCTGCGGAGCCGGGGAAGCGGCCCTTGGCTAAGGCTCCATTCCCAGCGGCAGGAGGGACAGGGCAGGGGCTGTGCCTGAGGCCAGCGCCTTCCACGGAGCGGGAGAAGGGCCCGGAGTCCCGGGAGCGGAGCGGCCTTGGGGCCGTCCCTCCCTGTCCCCCTGTCCCCCTGTCCCCCTGTCCCCCTGTCCCCCTGTCCCCCTGTCCCCAGCGCCACCGCCGGCCCCGCCCCTTCCGCGCAGGCCCCGCCCCCTCGGCCCAGGCCCCGCCCCCGGCGGCGCGGAGCGGGCGCTGATTGGCTGCGGGGGGCCCGGCCCGCCCCCGCCCCCCTGCGGGCGGTGACGTCAGGCGCGCTCCCCGCAGGGGAATGAATGGGAGGCGGGCGGCACCGGCGGGCACCGGCACCGGGACACGGCACCGGGACTCGGCACCGGGACTCGGCACCGGGACTCGGCACCGGGACTCGGCACCGGGACTCGGCACCGGGACTCGGCACCGGGACACGGCACCGGGACACGGCACCTCCCGCCGCCGGCCTCCGCCGGCCCGGCCCGCGGCTCTCCCGCCCCTCTTCTCTCCCCTCCGCCGCCCCCCGGGCCAATAAAATGATGCAAAGCTCTGCGCTCGCTGCCGAAGGGGCTGTCAAGGGGCTTCCCGAGATCCTCGGTGTGCCGGTGCAACGTAAGGACGCTTTTCTCTTCTCCCTCCTTCGCTCCCTGCCGCAAAGGCGGCCCCGGGCCGGCGGGGCAGCGCCCTGCGGGTGGGCAGGTGCCTCCGCTCCCGTTCGCTCCCGGTTCTGCACTTTGTGTTTATTTTCCCCGGCGTGTAGCGCCGGTCACGGACGCGAAAATGCGGCGGGTGCGGAAGGGAGAGAGGTGCCCCGGGGCGGGCGGGTAGCGGAGCGATGCGGGCCTGGCCCCGACGGGGAGGACGGCGCGGCTCCGGCTGTGCGTGTGTGAGCGTGAATTCGAGTGTGAGAGTGTGTGTGTGTGAGTGTGTGTGTGTGTGTGTGTGTGTGTGTGTGTGTGTGTGTGTGTGTGCGGCCCCGGCCCCCGCCCGCCCCGCGCATCGCCGACCCGCAGCGCACGACTCCGCGCTTATATCGTTTATCGCGACAGGCGGCGAGCGGCGGCGGTGGGAAGGGGCTCAGGGCCGTGCGTGAGCGGTACCGGGATGGAGAGCCCGGCCGGGCGCCGCGCTGCCCCCGGAGCGATGCCGCGTCTGTCCAAAAATCACCTGCGTGTCTGTGTGCGCGTCTGTGGCCCTGCAGCTACAGGTAGCGTGTCCGTGGGGGTGCGCACAGGCACGGCGTGGGGGTGCGGGCACGGGTGGATGGAGCCCGCTGGGGATGGTGCACCCCGAGGGGGGATGCTGGCCCCGAGCTGCGAGTGAGCCACAGGGGCTGTCAGCCCCTCACAGGGCCGAGCCCCGCGCGGGGGCATCCCGTGGGCACTACGGATGCCCCCTTTGGATGGTGGGGCACGGCCGTGCCCCGGTGCGCCCTGCGGGGGGGCCTCCGCGGCGGCCACCTGCGCGGGTGTTGCTGCTGTTGTTATTCTCGTTGATATTTTTGTTATTATTATCATTTCTTCCGTTTGCAAACCGTTCCCGAGACCGGGGCGTCGCCGCGCTCCCGGAATGGGGGGGACCCCACCGGGGCCAAGAGGGCGATGCTCGACCCCCCCACAGCGGCGCCGAGAAAGTTGAGAGGAGGGGCGCGACGGGCCCGAGGTGCGGGACAGCCCGGCCGGGGTCCGGCCGCACGGGGGGACACGGGGGGCACGGGGTGTCCGCTCCGGGACAGGTTTCTCCCGCCTCCGGCCGCCGCCCCGCGGAGCCCCCGCGCCGTTCCGTGCCCCGCACGGGGCCCCGGCCCCCCGGGCGGCTGGGATTCGTTTTCCCTGGGTTTTTCGGTGGTGCCTCTTCCCGCGGCTCTTTGGGGGATCTGTCGCCGTTATCCCTCGGTTCGATCCCTTTGCCGAGCTGCGGGAGGGTTGAACAGGAGGGCCCCGTTTAACCGATTTCACCGCAACAAGGGGGGAAATAAAATCGCGGTCAGGAGCACAGAGCCGGTGCAGGGACAGGGACCGGGACACGCGGGGTCTGTCCCAGTACCGTATCTCGAGTCACGCCGCCGATTCCGGGTCGCTGGGTCACTCCTATGGCCTCGGAATCCCTTGATTTAGGAAAAAAAAATGAGGTGCCCAAACCACCGTGGAGCAGCATTGCCCCAGCATAGTTCCCTGATCTGGCCCTCCTCGGGCTACCAAATTCCCTTGCCCCTGACATTGTCATGCGTGTACTGACTGATGGATATCAAGAATTAGCAGGAAATAATCAACGAGATTAAATTATTATTATTATTATTATTATTATTATTATTATTATTATTATTGCTATTTGTTTTTCTATTAATGCTATTATTATTAATAATTATTATTATTATCACTATTATACTTATTTATGCACAAATAAAATGGCAGAAAGAAAATAGATGAGGCTGGGCTGCTGAAAATCATCCTTCTGTGGTTTCCCCGCTGCCCCAGCCTGAGCCCTGAGGCCGCTGCCAGCTCCCAATCACCTGCTTTCATGTCGTGATAGATCTGGGGCCTGATCCTGCCTCAGTGACACAAAACTCAGCCCCCTTCGAGCCAAAGGAAACTGTCCCTGGGCAGGGAACCCCTTCCCAAGAAGGATCCAGGGTCTCCCCCCAGCCCCCAGCAGCACCTCGATATTTCATCGTGTGTGAGAGGAAAATCCGTGGCATTTTAATTTTTAATCGCTATTAAATCGCATTTTTTCCTCTCCCTTTAGCCACCAGCCTCATTATTTTAGCAGCGGCTGTGTCCTACAGCATCTTTTTCTGCAGGATTTTGGGGAGGTGAGAAGCCTCTCCCCTCACCATCCCCCCCCACCCCCCACCCGAAAGGCCTTGCTTAGCCTTGCAGACGGGATTGTTAAAAATAAAATTCCGAATATTATTTATGAATATTGTTTTGCAAATCTCACCGGAGTCAAAACTTGTGCCAAAGCCTGCGGGAACAGTGCCCGGCTGCCGGCAGGCGCTGGCCAAGGGGCTGGAGCTGGGGCAGTGATTAATCGCCGCCGAGAAAGTCGTTTGCCCGCAGCAGAGAAATGAATCGGAAGGTTTTTGCATGCGAAGGAATGAGGTTTCCTCCCCGCAGCAAGACTTCGGGAGGAATCCCCGGAGCGGTGCTTTGCTCGGGCTCGGTGCAGGCTCCGGTCCGGCGGCCCGGCCCGCCTCGGTGCTCCGCTTTCCCCCCGCACTCCCGGGCCCGATCCCGCCTCGGTGCTCCGCTTTCCCCCCGCACTCCCGGGCCCGATCCCGCCTCGGTGCTCCGCTTTCCCCCCGCACTCCCGGGCCCGATCCCGCCTCGGTGCTCCGCTTTCCCCCCGCACTCCCGGGCCCCGATCCCGCAGCACCGGGGGCTCCGTCCCCTCCCCGAGCAGGAGCCGAGCGCAGCCCCGGGGCCGGGGGTGTTCGTGCCCCGCGGGGCCCGGCGGGGAGCGCATCCCCCCGGCGCTGCCCCCGCATCTCCCCCCGCTCCTTTCCGAGGGGTTTTTGCGCTCTGAGCGATTCCTGAGGCCACCGGCCAGTTTGTTTCGTTTCGATCGATATTTCTTTAATTTTTCCCGTCGGGGAGAGAGGCGGGGAGGGGGGAATGGGAAGACGGACCCGCCGCTAATAAATCACGGTAGCGGCGGGGGCCCGTCGCTCGGTCCCCGTGCGTGGGAGGGTCCGCGGGGAGGCGGGGGGATTGCGGATCTGCCCACGGCCAAATCCCGCCTGGGGTGCTCATGGGCCATCCCCTCCCGGGCACATCACCCCGGAGCAGGGGGGACCCCCAAACTTCCCCCCTGCCCCGCAGAGAGGCTGGCACGGAGGCTGCATGGCCGGGGTGGTCCCCGGGCGGAGAGGGGTGACCCCGCGGCTGTGTCCCCCCGAGGACCACCCAAACCACCCTGTGCGCACAAACAGGGAGTGCTGGTGGGCACACGCAGCCTGGCAGCGCCTCGTTCCTGACGTACCGATTGTTCCCATTAACTTTATTCCTGTTCTATAAAATAATTCAGGTAAAACGAGCGCAATAAATGCGAGGCAGGGAGGAAGCCGCCTCTGTGGCAAAGCACAAAGCAGGGTGCAGGGCTTGAATTTAAGATATTTTCTCCCTGCAAACCAGAGGAGAAAATCTCCTGGTTCCCCTGGCAGCTCTCCCTTTTGTTATTGTTGATATTATTTTATTATTATTATTATTATTATTATCATCCCCGTGTGTGCACACAGGCATCGTAGCACACGCAGGCACCTGTGCGTCCGGTTGGTGCCTTGCACCTACAGCGAAATCGGAAGGAAAATCTGTCTCCTCTTAAAAAAAAAAAAATAGTTTTCTTTGGAAATTTGAAGGGAGATATCGTATCCTCGGCTGCGCTTGTTTTCTTGTTGAAATGGAGCTGCGTCGCTGCTTTTAGGAAGGGGAAAGCTCTTTGTTGGCTTGTGAGAGTGCATGTAAACACACAGGTGTTTACATAAATAATCATTTAGACACAGAACGTGCTTCCTGAAGATGCACACGCGTTTATGAAGCGGCCGAGAAGGATTTCCCGGTGCCAGCGGCGGTCGCGCTGCCCTCGAACGCTTTGAACAAACCCAGCGCGGAAAACGCGGGGCTGGAGGGAAGGCAGCGGAGCGTCCAGGTGTTCCCAAAACAAGAAGGGATAGAGGGACCTCTAGAAGCCGTAGAGCTATTCATTTTTAATTAATTGTGCGGTTAATGAGGCAGAGGCTTGGACGGCAGCAGCAGCCGCGCTCCGAGGGGCGCCCCGGGCAGGGGGAATCAGCTGCCTTCGCGTGAGGTACGTGGCAGGACCCCGAAGCATCTTGAAATAATGTTGTGTGAGGCTGTAACAATATGAGATTTTCCTCTGCTCGTTTCCTCCTTCCCCCTCCTCTCTCTTTCCTCCTTTACCCGTTCGTTCCTCTTCCCCTCGCCCTTCTCTTCTTCCCCCTCTTTTTATTAATTTATTTCTTCTTTTTTACCCTTTCTCTTCCTGTACCCCCTTTTCCTTTTTTTCTTTTCCTTCCTTGTACCATTCCTTTCCTCTCTTCTCTCACGTTTTATTTTTGGTTCTCCTCCTTTTGCTTTTCCTTTTTTTTTTCCTGTTTTATTTTCTCATTTTTCCTGTTTTGTTTTCGAATCTTTCCTTCCTTTTCCTTTAAAAAAAAAAAAATTCCTTCTTGTGAATTTTTTTCCTTCTTAAATATGTTTTCCTTTAAGAAATATTTTCCCTTTTCTATCTTCCTCGCTTTTAATGTATTTTAATTTTTTTTTTCCTTTTTAAAAACCTATTTCATTCTATACCTTTTTCCTTTTTAAAAAAAGTTTTTCCTTTTTCATAATTTTCCTTTTTATTC